AGGATAGTTGTTCCTGCGCTTGTGCTATATATAATAGCCTGTTATTTTCTGCTCCTAAAACCTCATCACCTTCCTTTGAGGTGAGTGCTCACATCATTCACTCTTGTGAGTTTGTTCAAATCCCAAGACTATGGTTCTTAGACCCTGTGAATGCCGCCCCTGAGATGCAAACCATCCCATGGTGCTCTTTTTTCCTTTACCTGGTCACCAAACGGCCCCTTTGTAGTAGCACTTGAGGGATGCTTTGCAAAGGCAGGTCAGTTCTAACTTTGAAATCGTTTTATGAAATTGCATAGCAGATAAAGAGATTTATCTTGGGCATACTAAAAATACAATTACAGGTTCTTGCAATGGGCCTCTAAAGCAGCTGGTATCTGAAACACAAATATCCCACTATGGCACAATGCCCTTTATCCAAAAATAAAACCTTGCCTAATGAAGAAGCCACTGTATCAGCAATACATTTCAAATAAAGTTTGCATTTGAAGCATGTTGGCGTAATCCTCAAAAGTATGAAAACCGTGCCGTATAGGCCACAGGCGCTGCATTCTCAAAACATAGCCAGATTTCTTGGCAGGTTAAACCTGGGAAAGAAATAAAATTTTGTTTCTGTTCTTCACTGCTGCAACTGCCATTTTAGTGTGTAGACCCACAATGAAACAGAAATGCACACTATCTTTTCTGATTTTTTTTTAAAAAAACATTAAAAATACAGGTAGTCCTCAGTTTAAGAACGAGTTCCGTTTCCAAGATCTGTCCTTACATTGAATTTGTATGTAAACCGGAACAGTATTATTGTATAATGATGTATAAGTAGTATTGTGTAATGAACTCAAACCATTGTGTATTTAACTTGAATCATTGTGTATTTAACTCAAATTTTGCTACAATAGGTTCTGTTCTTAACTATGGGTTGTCTGTAACCTGGGCGTTCTTAACCCGGGGACTACCTGTAGTGTTTAGAACAATTATGTGCTACAGTAGGCCTTTTCATTGGAGAAAAGTACAAGCACAGCATGTTCATGCAATTACTTTCAAGGGAACCCCTCCTCCATACATTTACATTTTATTTCCTGCTTCTCACTAAGTTATGAAAAATCCCCCTTTCTTCCCAATGTACAAAATAGCAGTTAAATAACTTTGTTAAAGCATTAGAATGACATTATGGAGAAAATATTCTTTTTCTCTACTTCAGTCTTCAAAGAGAAATGGCACTGCTTATGTAGTCAGCGTGGCATCAACTATGCACAAGAGGAAAGTAGCAGGAGATCAGAGACAACCTAAGTATGCATAACTACAAATAGCCTTTGTGGGGAAAAGCCACAGGGTTCATTTATTCTGGCATCTTGTTTCCATGCAAATGTTTTGTGAAGGTCTTGAATAGATATAAAGGCAAGCTGATAACAAACTTCTGTCAGTTTTTCTCACAGAGGCAACATCTTGCAAAACTGGTGGTGACACTTTTGAGAAAAAGGTGATCCCTGCTCCCTGTCAGATGAGACCATCCATGCTGGATCGTCATGTTCATTGCATACATCCCCGGAAGATGCCACTGCCATCTGAATCACAGGGAAGGATTTCAAAGAGTATAATCCTGAAAACCCTGTGGAATATCCCCCACCAAGCTTCCAGATCTTCAGTAAATTGCCTATTTGGGGCACTCAGCTGTGTAATTACATTCTATAAAGAAAGGGTAGTAGTCAGTAGTAAGGTAATTTGTCTTTACCATAATTACAGAACTAGTATTTGAGACCATACAAAAATATATGATTAAAAAAACAATAAAACTAGTACTATGAAATAATATACAATAATCAATCACGACCAATTGAAAGACTGGGTGAAAATATACTACTGGATCTCTCCTTGGTCCTGAAGTTGAAATCCTGCATGCATAACAACTTGTTACTGTTCAATGTCCTAATACTTGGTATCTCAGGTTCTTCCATCAGCCATTCTACTTCTCTTTCTCTTGTCTACTCTCATAAAGGGGTTTGTATATGTGTTTCCATCTCTCTGTCTGTATTAGTGGTCTTCTATTGGATTTTTAGTGGCCTCCTATCCAAGAAATTGATCTGGTCCACACTTGCCCAAGAGAGCTAGAGCTATTCTCATAAGTTAACCTGATTTACAGGGCTCTTTATCTATCTATCTATCTATCTATCTATCTATCTATCTATCTATCTATCTATCTATCTATCTAGTGTATAGCATCCAATTTTAAAATAATATAGTATTTTTCAATATTAAATATCTGTATGGTCTCCTCTGCCATATTTTGGAGGTAAAATATTTTTCCCAAAGTGTTAGTTTTTTAAAAGAATCTTCTTCAAAGACATTTTCATCCAATATTTTGTTGTGCCAATTTTTTTTCTAAGTGCCCCCCCCCCTTTTTTCACTGCAACAATTTTCTGAGTAATTAAAACCAGGAACAATATGCAGAAATTATATACAGTAAACCATTAGGTTCCAATGACATTTATCCAGTCAACTGTGACTACGTGTTGATCTCAGTGAAGTCAAGCAAACTTCAGGAAGCACTGAATTCTTTCTCAAGGCATGAAAACTATCACCTCATAACCAAAATCAGTGTAAGAGCACACTCAGTAGTGGGGGAAAAATGAAAAATGCCATATTATTCAGGCCTGCATATTTCTTCAATTTCTCTTAGTGAAAGGATTGAATCAGTAACACTATGATACCTGATAAGCACGCAAACTGAAGTTACAGAAACAAAATCTATATCCTTTCTTTATGTGTATTTTTATCATTAATCAATTTGATTTGTACTAGACAAGGTTCATGATGTAAGACGTGCACCAGACAGAATATTGTAGAAATAGCAAAATGCAGAAAAAAGCAACAGAAACATCAGAGCAGGTGGGGTAGCTTCCTTTGGAGGAAAGGTCTGAGGCTTTTTAACGTAGAAAAATGCTGCGGGAGGAGAAGATGACACAGGCATATAAATGTAGGCATGAGAGATGTTCGACAGGGAAAACGAATTCTATGAAGTTGAATTGTGGAATGTTTGGGACAGATAAAGGAAGTACTTCTCAGCTAGAGAAATCATGGTCAGCTTTAAAGGATAATTAGAAAAATGCATAGAAGATACATTTATCGGTATATCTTAGTTGAAGGTTGGTTATTTATTTATTGAAAAGATTTATATAGCAGCTCATATGATGAACCACAACCCTGGGCAGCTCACAAAATAATAAAAACATTAAAAAAAAAAAAAGACAACCACAATAGAAACTCCCTGTGCCCTGGGGCAATAGTCTCCCACACGTCTTTGCTGGGCTCCAGACTCATCCTTCCCCAATGCCTGGATGTATAATGGGTATATATTACTGTCACAACTGGAAGCAGCATACCATCAAAATCAGGAAGATGCCATTGCCTTCATGTTCTATCTCAACACATCCCAGAAGCATGGGGTTGGTAAATGGGGAAACAGAGCGCCCTTGGCTCATACCTAAGCCTTTTAGATTCTTATATTCCTGGGCATGTATGCATGCATGCATGCATGCATGCATGCATTCATTCATTCATTCATTCATTCATTCATTCATTCATTCATTCATTC